ACACACACACACACAGAGCCATGGAGATTTGATGTGTGTTGGGGTGATACAGACCAGCTCCCCCTTTGTTAGACTTCCTGCTTATTAGAAGCTGCAGTTTTCAAAGACTGAACTGCAAGCACTCCCCTCCAAAATACTCTGGTCTCAAACTCAGCCCAAGAAACCTGCTATTTGCCAGAGATTGGGAGGGAAAAAAAACAAAAACAAAAACCTGCTGCACTAACTCTACACACCTGGACTAAAACCTCAGTATGTGGCTCCAGGGAAAACCAAGACATGGCAAACTGGTAATCTATAAAAGAAATAAAGGGAGACGTTCCCACTCAGGGCAGCACAGTGGGGCCAATGTGTACTGTGAGCCCCGGAAGGCTGGGAGTCATCAGCAATATCACTGCCCATAGCCAGGAGCCAAGCAGCCGAGCAGCCGAGCAGCCAAGCAGCCCAGCAGCCAAGCAAGGCTAAACCTGGGTCCCCCAACCACAGGCAAGATAGCACAAGACAATCCAGATTCCCTGTCCAGGTGAGGCCCCTCAGGCCTCACTATCCACAGAACACTGTCCACTGTCCACCACACTGTCCACAGAACACCCAGCCACAATCACCTGAGACAAGGAGTCGTGACCCCACAAGAGGACGCATCCTCACCAGAGTGTAGCCTGACCTCTGGTGGTGCACAGGCCTGCCCACCTACCCACCCCCAAGAACTGGTATAGAGCACTAGCAGCCCCTTCCTGCCATAAGCAAAAATCAAACCAACCAAAAAAAGCCAAACAGAAGAATCTAATAGTGATCAAAACATTACATTTCAAGAAATAGCTATAGCAATCCAGCTGCAAGACAAGAAGGACTGCAGAGGGCTGGGGTATAGCTTAGTGACAAAGCACTTGCCTAGCAAGTACAAAGTCGTGGGTTTGATCCCCAGCACCTGCCCCCCCAAAAAGAAGGACTGCAGAAAGAATGGAGGTCTTGTTCTCTGACACAGATTAAAAGACTTTTGAAGCACTTGGCCAAGATCACAGAGAACAGGACAAACAACTATTACAGAGTTCCAGAGCCTAATTAAACTTTAAAAACATACGAATGAGTATTTAAGGAAATAGAATCCCTTTACAATTAAAGAAGAAAAAAAAACTGTCCATACTGTATTGTTGAATGACAAGCAAAAGTCTATTGTGGAACAATAGCAACAGAATGCCTCTGGGGATTTCTACCCATACCAACATCTGCATGGTAGGGTATCCCCTATCACCAGTTAAACACAGTTTGCCCGTGTCTCAAGGCTTAATGTGTTGACACTGAATCCCCATTATGAAGTATTAATAGAACAAAACTTAATCTGACTATTGTTAGAAGTGGACCACTGGGAGGTAAAGAGGATTACATAAAGTCATTAGGGTGGATTCCACTTGAATGAATCCCCGTGCCTTTATAAGACAAGAGAGATTCCGTACAGACACACAGACACATGTATATTCTCTGTCTCTTGTTATGTGACACCTCAGGTCTCTGCCAGGAAGATGGCCATCATCAAATGTGGCCCTCTGACCCTCAGAATCATGTGCCAAAACAAATTGCTGCTGATGCTG